TACATATGCAATCTCTATCAGTATAATACATTCATTATAAATATATATAATAAAACATTGGTTGTGATGAAAATTTACATTATTTTTGAGATATTTCCTTAAAATAATTTACATTTATTTTAATTGTATGAATAGAAAATATTTACAATTTGATTTGAAATAAAATGTTAACTGAAGTGTAAAAATAAATAATGCTACAAATATGATAAAATGAGTGATTTTCCTGCCTTGATTTTAAAACTTTAAACAGCAGACACCATTAATCTACTAAAATGAATTTAAAATAAATAAATCTCATTAAATTTATGATAATTCAATTCATTTTTAAGAAATAAAACTTATTTAATTAAAAGGGAAATATTCAATAATATGAATATATACAACATAATCCAATATCAATAGGAAAATGCTAATAAATATATAAAAGTATATATTCAAGCCAAAAACAAAAAAGGTTCTTTGAAGATTAAATTGAAAACATACTAAAGAAATCTAAGATAGCCCAAACAGAGTTAAGGATTACATGAAAAATGTATAAATAACTATAATAACATATATTTTTCAATTTAATATTAAAACAAAACAAAGTACACAATAACCCCAAATCCCAATCATAATTGATGTCTCCTGTAAATAACTTTTTTTTTCTGCGTGCTGACATTACGATGGCGCAATGGCAATGGCTCTTACCTCGTTTTTTGTTTTTTAGCCTGATGATGGAGAAGAAGTCAATTAAGCCAAACGCTAAAAGGCCACGAAAGATAAATGACAAATGACGTGTCTTAAACTGTGCACGGTAACCATCTTTAAGCAAAGAGAGCGCATGTATCCCAGGCAAGAAGGCATCCATCGCACATCCCAATCCATGTCCATGTCCACGTCCACGTCCACGTCCGCATCTCATCTCATCTGAGGCACTGCTTAGCACTGTGGCCACTGTGTGTAATTTCCAGCAAAGAAATATCGCACAACAAGTGCAAATGCAATTAGTCGCGAGCTTTATTTGTTTAGACGAATGCCGACTCGCACACTGACATACACGATCAGCATCTTCGTCCCGGTGATCATGATCATGATCATGATCATGCCACATCGCATTGCATCGCATCGAATGGCAGATTCTGCAATCGGAGACCGACTCCCGATCTTCACCTTCCAGGAACTTGTCGACGAGTCGGCGGAACAGGAGCAACATTTAGATGGTGGTTGCCTTTATAATTGCCCCAATGATTTTCGCTGTATTTGGCCAGTTCAGCCCATTAAGATGGTTGAGATGCCGCACACCGCCCCTCGTTCTTCAGACTTTGTCTGCGGATTGGAAAACTCCCTCCCCCTCCTCCTCGCTGGTGCTCTGGGAAACTTGAAAAATCCCATTGCAAATCGATTTGCCATTAATTAAAAATGGTATATTTATTTGTCTGCAAAGGAAAATTACGAATTAAGAGCCATATTCTTTTAAATATCTTAATATTCGTAGTATTTCATTGGGGAACTTTCTTTCAGCCTTAGGGAAATCCCAATTCTGTTGTGGAACGCCTAAATAACGTGCTACATTTTTCTTGCCGATTTATGTAGATTAATCCATTAAGTTTCTTGCTGACAGCCCAAAAATATGCATAATATCAGAAACCAAAACTAAACAAGATAGGAATACAAATTTCTTTAAAACTAGAATTTTGATGGGGAAATTTTAAAATTAAATTGTTCATAACTAAATCTGAAAAACATTCATTTCAAATGTTGTATGTTTATTTTTAGCTGGTTAATAAAACTGCCAAAACTGGTCGAAAATTACTCCTTCACATTCTTTTAAGCTTCTGACTGAAGGTGCATTACCATTTTTTAACCAATATTAACTATATTTTTATTGGAAATTTTTCGACAAATTAAAACGTAAAAATCTCATAACTATTTTGAATTTTTGGTCGATTTTTGCGAATTTTCATGATGTAACCCCTTTCCTTTTTTCCGAAAAATGGGAAATTTCTGAACAAAATTTTTTTCGGCCGGAGATGGCTAAAACGATTCGCCTGTTGATGCTGATCAAGAATATATATAATTTATAGGGTCGGAAATGACTCCTTCACCTTCGTTTAAGCTTCTGACTGAAGGTGCATTACCATTATTTAACCAATATTAACTATATTTTTATAGGAAATTTTTCGACAAATTAAAACGTAAAAATCTCATAACTAAGCCAAAAACGCATTAATTTCAATTCGGAAAGCAATCGTATGTTAATTTTTAGCAGGTTAACAAAACTGCATACTCCATTTAAAATGTGAATTTTTGACCGATTTTTGCGAATTTTCATGATGTAACCCCTTTCCTTTTTTCCGAAAAATGGGAAATTTCTGAAAAATTTTTTTTTCGGCCGGAGATAGCTAAAACGATTCGCCTGTTGATGCTGATCAAGAATATATATAATTTATAGGGTCGGAAATGACTCCTTCACCTTCGTTTAAGCTTCTGACTGAAGGTGCATTACCATTTTTTAATCAATATTAACTATATTTTTATAGGAAATTTTTCGACAAATTAAAATGTAAAAATCTCATAACTAAGCCAAAAACGCATTAATTTCAATTCGGAAAGCAGTTGTATGTTAATTTTTAGCAGGTTAACAAAACTGCATACTCCATTTAAAATGTGAATTTTTGGCCGATTTTTGCGAATTTTCATGATGTAACCCCTTTCCTTTTTTCCGAAAAATGGGAAATTTCTGAAAAATTTTTTTTTCGGCCGGAGATGGCTAAAACGATTCGCCTGTTGATGCTGATCAAGAATATATATAATTTATAGGGTCGGAAATGACTCCTTCACCTTCGTTTAAGCTTCTGACTGAAGGTGCATTACCATTATTTAACCAATATTAACTATATTTTTATAGGAAATTTTTCGACAAATTAAAACGTAAAAATCTCATAACTAAGCCAAAAACGCATTAATTTCAATTCGGAAAGCAATCGTATGTTAATTTTTAGCAGGTTAACAAAACTGCATACTCCATTGAAAATTTGAATTTTTGGCCAATTTTTGCGAATTTTCATGATGTAAAAAAAAAATTGCTGAGTCATTTTCCCAAAAAAAAAAGTGCTGAGTCATTATTTAAACAATAAAAGTGCTGATTCATTACCTACAACAAACATAAAGTCGTTGTACAACAACAATTTATCTACAAGAACATACCTACAACAACAACAACACGTTTCCTTCCAAATTGCTTACAAATTTTACATTTTTCCATCTGAAGTACCAGGCGAACAGAAAGCAGCAGCAAGCGACTGTGATTTTATCGATCTGGCAACCTTTGAGATGACAATCGAGAACCAGAGCGTTGCCAGATCGATGAAATCTACGAATTTGCTTGCTGCTGCTTTCTGTTCGCCTGGTACTTCAGATGGAAAAATGGAAAATTTGTAAGCAATTTGGAAGGCAACGTGTTGTTGTTGTTGTAGGTATGTTGTTGTAATTAAATTGTTGTTGTACAACAATTTTTTGTTTGTTGTAGGTAATGACTCAGCACTTTTTTTTTTTTTAATAAGAATTCCCCTATTATCTGCATCTTTTGGACTGACTTACCTGTTTTCTACCAATCCCTTTATCCTGAAAATATTTTGTAATACCCTGAATTAGAAAAAACAATCGTGTAATGTTCCAGTACACAAGTTTTTTTGTTTTGGTCTGCCGCGTTTACATTTTCTGGTTTTTGGATTTGAACAGAAGCAATTATAGTATATATTATTTATATATGTATATATTTGTATAACTAGCGTATGATATATATCCGTATAATCCTTAGCTATTTTCGCATATATAGGCTAGTAGTTAGCGCAGGAAGCCAGGATCCAGCAGCAGCTGTCTAAGAGGACTCGCTGGCGGCTCCGCATGTCTGGTTCACTTTGAAAATATTAGACAGCTCATCTAGCAGGGTCTCGTAGCGGTAATCCACCCGAATTTCAGGGACATTGGTGCGGGTAATGTCGTTGCCCATGATTTCATCTTCATAGTAGACGGGCCCTAGCCACTGTTGCTTTATCTGGTTGGAAAAAAATAAAGGTTACTCTTAAACCTACTTCAAAAGAGGATAAAACTCGAGGGATGAGGAAAGATACCAAATTTTTACGCAATTTAAAACCAATTTTACTCTTTGCCCAAAAGTATGCTAGAAGTTCTTTCCAAAAAAGGCATTCAACAATAAATTCAAAACAAGCAGTTTGATTTGTTCATGGACTCTCAATATTTAAATTTATTGATTTTGTGTAGATGCACTTATTAAAAAAAAAAATTAAATATATATTTAAATACAATATTAATATAAATGCTTACAATTATTGCTAGATATTGCCATTCTTTATAAATTGAAAAAGGCTCGGGGGCTCAACAAGATGCAGCTAGCAAACATTATTTCGCTGACTAATCGTGGACTAAAGTCTATCAATAAAATCTAACCTACAGACACTCATACATATATATATAATAAACATAATACACAATCGTTTACGGGTAATAGTTAAAGGTCATAATAATAATAATAATAATAGTAATCGTCATAATAAATCTGGTAATGAAACAAATGTACAAATCTAAACAGAACTACAGAGCCAAGGGTAGGTAGTGGGTAGTAAGTGGTAGATAATAGGTACAGGGGATATAGATACACCTGAAGCTTAAGTTTAGTTAACGCTCTTGTTGGTTTGGTCTAATTTGGCGGCACTTTTACATTAAATAAGCAGGCTAGCTGGCCAACAGCTACAGCTCTATGGCAAACAGGCACATAAATAATGGCACAGGCCAAAAAAGGGAAGCCTTCCTCAACTCATTTGACAGCAAACTCCGAATGCCGTTTTGTTTCTTCCTTCTTGTTCTTATTTTTTTGTAGACAAATCACAATCCAGCACATCACAGGCAGATTTTACGTACAGTTAATGTATGTGTGTAAAAAAATAACTACTACTACTAGGCAACAACAATATATCGTCGGCTTAGGGAGAATATATTGTTGATAACCGCAGCAGCTCAGCATCCTCAGATTCCCGTCTCAGCAATGCCCTCGTCATCTGTAAAAATGTTGAAAAGGAATTAGTAAATGTTTTCTATTCATTTTATGCATAGAATTTACTACAATTTACAAAAATTTAAAACACAAAAAATTAAGATATCAAATTCGCTTTTCTTCTTTGAATGTCGAATGTTTTGTTGCTCTTTTTTCTTTTGTTTGGGTTTTAATGCCTTTACCGTAGTGGTGGTGCTGGTGTTTTAGGATTTATGTGTCATTTGTTAATTACTTTTTGCCGGTTTTGGTGCGGTTAGTTAATATCGTGTTTGTTTTAGTCGTGGGGGAAAAAAGCGAAAAATATATTTAATTAAAGCAAATCAAAATTTTAGGCAATGCTGTTTGGTTGTTGTTGTTGGTGTACTGTTGTTGTACTGTTGGTGAAGTGTAGTGTGTGTCGTTGTACTAGTTTCGTATTATTGTATTGTGCTTTTCGGTACGTTGTTGATGTTGTTGTCTGGTTGTGTTCTAGTGTTGTTTTTTGTTGTGGGTACAAACCTATTAAAAATTAAAGGCGACTTTAGCTATCTCAATACCACCAGCCATCGCCATCCTCATCCTCAGCGCCAGCAACAGCCCCATCCTTGGCCAGCTGCTGTTCATCATCGTCGTCCTCCGTATCGGTTTCAGTATCTGAATGGGATTTACTCGAAACTTTGCAGTTTCTCTCCTGGTCTAGCTTGGGATGATGCTCTAAAGATTCCTGAAGAATCGCATGCTCCTGATTGCTACTGCTGCTACTGCTACTGCTGCTGCTGCTGCTGCTGCTGCTGTTACAGCTGGCCGATGACAATGTGGCCGTTGTCTCATTGTTCAGCGGCTGCTGGTCATCGTCCTCGTTATCATCTTCATCCTCATCGTCGTCCTCTTCGATACCTTGCTTAAGGCAATTGCTTTCGATGGTAATTTCATGAGATTTTCGCTTTTCGTTGACCTCCGACAATGCCGGCTGCTGTGGCTGCTGCTGCTGCTGCTCCGTATCCTTGTCGGAGGCAACCATGAGATCCGGTTCCAGTTCCTCGGCCTTTGCCAGTGAGGCACGTATGGGCAGGGTTCCCATTTTCGTTTGTGGCTGTTGTAGCTGGCCACTAGGGCGCTCTAAGTAAATTTTAGTCACTTTTTTTGTGTGATTTTTTTTTGCGATTTTTGTTTTTGAAGTTGTTTTTTTATTTTCAAGTAATTTTGTTTTGTATTTTTGCAGAAGAAGAAGCAGTTGTGGAATATGGAATGTAATATGTGTAAATTGTTAGGCATTTTGTGTGATTTACAATTGTGTTTAAGGTGTGTGTGTGTATGATTGTGAAAAGAAAGAAGAAAATCAATTATTTAAAAATATTATTTGGTTAGTTACAATATGTAAAAAAGAAATCAAATCAAAAAAAAAAGGAAAACCTTGGTATAACCGCCACAGCCATCAAATAGAGTAAAACGTAAAAGCACCATTAATTAAATTAATAACAGCCCGAGAGTCCAGTTTTGTGTAGGTTTTGTTTTGTTTTTGAAGAAATAATAAATTAATAATAGAAATTGAAATATCCAACAAAATTAAATAATAAATACTCTAACCAAATAGAGAGGAATACAAAATAGATAAAAAAAAGTTGTGTGGGGAAAAACGAGAAGAGCTACTAATAAGATTAGCAACCTTGGAACTCACCTTCGTAGCCATCGTTGGCATGCAGCTCCAGGGAATCGGCCAGCAGATGCTCCTTGCCCTCCAGCACTGCCAGCAAACACTGATGGATGCACACATACTGCTGCTCCGTCTGCACCATGACCACACGCTCTGCAAAAGCAAAAAAGGATTAGCGATCAAGAAAGCTTCCTTGAGATGGTGTGCTTAATAATTACTCACCCTTTCGCATGGCAAACACAATACCAAAAATGTCCACATAGTCGGACTTGTGTATGTGCTGCAGTATCCGATCGAGGGCTATAAATGTGCCCGATCTGCCCACTCCTGCGCTGCAATGGACAATAATGGGTCGCGAATCGGTGCCAACGACATCGCGAAAGGCGCGCACAAATCGCACCAGCGATTGCGGTGGCTCCGGTACCCCAAAGTCCGGCCAGGTGGTGAAGTGAAAGTGTCGCATTATCCGGGATTCACAGTTCTGGAAAGAATTTCAATCAATTACTGATTCCATTTTAATATTCCAAGCCACACTCACCCTGGAAACCATAAATTCCGATATGCTCCAGTCATGGAAATGCGTATCCACTATTAGCTGCACCTTAATGTCGCCATAAAACATGGCCACACGATCCACAGGCCAATACTGATCACATTTCTCGCGTCCCTTCTCAAAGCAACGCGTCAGCATCACTATTGCCCTCGAATTGCTCTCCCAGCACATTCGCCAGAATTCCTCGCGGGTTGAATGCAGCGGTCCCTGGGTTACAATAAATTCACGCGGTGAATTATGACCCGGCATATAGTTGGCATTGATGTAATCGGAGCCATCGTCATCGTCCACCGGCTGAAGCTTGAAGCGTGAATGGTCGTAGGGCAGGATGTTGGTGAAACGATTCTTGGGACGATTGCAGGGTAAATTCGCAAAGCTGCAGGGTTGATCGCGACCCACATGCTTTAGATCATCAAATTCCTCGCTGAAGCGAAAATCCGAGTCGGCTGACATCAAACGATAGTGCTCGGCAAAATCCTTGACATGCACAGGACGATTTGGTATCACATAGCCTTCGGGCAGGGCAGCTAGTTCGTCCTGCATCCGTGCCAGCTTGCTGGCTCGTCGGATTAGCTGGCAGCGATGCTGGCAGTAGGCCACCAATAGCACCACTGCCACCAGCAGTACGGCGGACATGGTTAGGGCCACAATCATGGTATCGCTACGCTCCGTAGTTATCGGTGAACTATACGCCGTATCCGTGAATTTGTCCTCGTCGGTGAAGGCTCGCACCTTGATCCTGTACGTTGTCCCCGAGCGCAGCGGTCCGTTGCAGTATCCCGCGGGATGGGAGTCACAATTGGCCGAGCCGATGGTGAAATGCTCCGCCTCTAGTAGATTATTGCTCCTTCGTCGACTGCCATTTGAGCTTAGGAAGGGATTGTATGGCTCGATGGCCTGGTAGGGCAACCACACCGTATACGCCTGCACATCCTGCCAGCTGGGCATCTCCAGTCCGGAGGCATTCTTGCCCACATCTTCCGCCACAATGATGGTATAGTAACGCACCATGCCATGGGCATTGGAGAAGTATCCTTGCCGGAAGCTAATCTCAATGGTGCTGCTGGTTCGGCTCACCTCCAGCGGTGTAACATTCGCTTCTGGTATGGGTGGCGCTAGTATAGGCATCCGCTGGATGTACTCTCGCTCGGCACCGTAACCCAGCTCTGATTTCGCCTGTATCCGGAAAACGTATTGATTTCCAGGCACTAGATCTCCGATCCTGCCCTGCGTGGCATTCGCTGGGAATTCGTAGGTGGTCACATCGTCGCCTGCATCATCTGCATTCTGGCACGTTATCCTATAGTAATCGATGGGGCCATGCTGCTCTCCTGGTTCCAGTATCCAATCGAAGGTTACCTCTCCTGGTTGCACATCGCTGGGCTGGAAGAATTCCACCTTGCCAGGCAGTGCGGGCAGCGTTTGGTAGCTCGCCGAAATGGGTGCACTGCTACGCATTAGCGTGCTCCCAGAAATATCCGAATCGGGGGCCTGGGTGGATCCAGATCGCACCACCACGGTGAATGTGTAATTATGATACGGTCGTAGTCCCTGCAGCGTAATCTCCGTCTTTTTGGTCACATTCTGCAACAATTGGGGCGCCTCCTCGTCCGCGCTTAGATACTGTAGCTCAAAATCGGTATATTCACCAATGGGAGCTGTCCAGCGTAGGGTTATTTCACGAGCAGCCACCTGGCTGGCCACCAAATCCGAGATGGGCAGGGGATGTAGACGATATAGACGCTGTACTGGCAAACTGGCCACTCCACCGCTCACAGTCCAAACGGTCACGTTGTATAGCTTGCCCGGCGTCAGGCCATTAAAGCTTAGCTTACGTTCCGTATCATTGGCCAGCTTCTCCTTGTCCTTGATCTTTGGGTCACCCATTGAGAAGCGATAGATATCGAAGCGTGTGCTAGCCGCCGGCGTTGGTGTATAGCTCAACGTGATCGTCTCATCCTGGCCCAGCTCATGACCGGCATTGGCAATGAAGACATCCGACTGGATGAGCGGCATGGTGCGCGTGGAGAGGTGTGTGATGCCGGAGCGAATGCCATTGGAGCTGGCCTGCACCTCGAAACGATATTGCCGGCCTGGGGATAGATCCTCGATGGGTACCCGCACACTGGGAGAGCTCACTGCAAGGGGTTTAGGTATATTATATATCAATCGATACTCAATATATATCTCTCATTTCTACTCACAATCCTCCAGTTGGGTAACATTCTTGAATTCCACACTATCCGCATCGTCGGTGGGCCACCATTTGAGGCTGTAAAAGTCTACGTGGCCATCGGGACGTGGCCACTCCAGTGTGAGATTACGTGAATCCACCAGAGGCACCACATTCGATACCGGTTGCGGTGGCATCGTTACATTCAGCTCCAACGGATGTGGACTCTCCACACCAAAGCTGACGGTGTTCACCTGAACAATATAACGTTCTCCATAATGCATATCCTCAATCCGAGCCTCGTTCTTATGCAAACCGGCAATGCGTTGCCAGGGTGAGGCATCTGTGCGATAGCGTACAACATATTCACTGAAATCACTGCCCTCCGGCGGTTGCCAATGGAGAACCACCAGGTTCGTGTGCACCGTTTGCAGGGTGAGATTCTGCGGTGGTTTGGGAACTGTGTGAGATAGAGTAAAGGAAGATTGTAAATAATACAATTTAATAACCTAGAAGAGAAGAAATCTTGCTGTACAATCACTATAAACTGGTTTTATGCCACTCATTAGGAGCTTTATGGCTCAATACAGCTCGCTTAGTTGATAATTCAACAGGATTGCGGCATATATTAACGCATCAGTTAATATTCTGGCAGTGCAACAAAGAATTTTTAACCCAAAACCAGTTTGTATTCTATGCTCAAACGCGTGCTTATAATTATAACCATTAAATATTAATTTAAAGGCTATTTAAGTATCAAATTAATCGATGAAAAGCATTTCTAAAAGCGGAAATTGGACTCACAAACTGCCTGGAAATAGGTGTGTGGCTCGCTGCGGATTCCATGGCTAATGGCATACACCTTCACCGTGTAACCGGATCCCGCATGCAGATAGTTTATCGTTAGCGTCGTCTCATTGGTGGCTATCGTTCGCTCCTCGCGTGTTCCATTCCTTTGATAGTGAACCTCGTAGCGATCCTGACGTGAATTCACATCGCTTCGCCAGCTGACCATCAAACCCTGATCGATGCTTCGCAGCTCCTGGATGAGCGGTGCCGCTGGACGGGTGAATCGGGTTATATAGCTGGCATTGGAGGCCACCTCCATGGATAGAGCCTGAACGGCAATCATATAGCGACGTCCGGGTAGCAATGAATCCAGTGTATACTCGGTGAGATTGGTACGGATCTGTGTCTCTGAGGCGACGGGAAATGTGGGTGTTGCTTCGCTCACATTGGTCTGCTCATGGTAGCTGCAAAATATTTCATTTAATATACATTTTTGCTAATAAAACTCTCCTTCTCTTACCTTATTTTATAGGCATCCTGTCGTCCCGTCTCCGCTGGCTCCCAGGAAATGTGCAGCACATTGCTGTGGTCATCGAGGAATCCGCTCAGGCTTCTCACCGGACGCGGACGCAGCGTAACAAAGCCACTTGTGGGCCAGGAGTTCACATTATCCGCTATGGTCTTCACCACCACCTCGTAGGTGCGACCCGCCTCCAGGACATCCGGATAATCAAAGTACACAGAGTCTCCTTCGTTACGCGGCACATTGAAGATGCGTCGCGAGGTGGAGAGCATCACCTGGTAGCCATCGAATTCACTGTACGTGCTCGGTGGCTTCCATTGCACCCGAAAGGAGCTGGCTGTGGTGTAGGCCTCATCGAAGGTGACATTGAGGACGCGCTCTGGTACGGTTAAATACCTTGCCGTTGTGGGTACCGATGATGTCTCATCCTCGGAGACGGTCTGTACGGATATATTGTACTCCCTGCCGGGTACTAGTCCTTTGAAGGCCGCCTGAGCTGGTCCTGGTGGCTCACCCTCTTGCTCCACATACAGCACACTCTGGATGGCATCGTCGGGCGTTATGGAGACCTTGTAGTGGGTGTAAATCCCAGCGGGATACGGCGGTTGCCACAGCACGAGGAGCGTTGTCTCATTGCGGAACCAAACGATGAACTTGCCAGGCGTATTGGGCTCTGAGGAGATGATGGAGAGCACGAGATGACGGAGAGGATGCAATGTGAGTTGGAATAATGCAAACTAAACTCTAAATCTAAGATTTATGGTCTAAGGT